CTCCAATTTCTATCCCCCAGAAACCACCTGGACTCCACCCCCTGCTCAGCTGATTAGGTCTCGCAAGGCAGCTGGGCTGAGCCGGGCTGAGCTGGGAGCAGTTTCTCCCTGCAGTTTAAATCCCCCACAAACGCCCTCAGCTGCATTCAATGATGAGATGATTAGAGCTTGCAGTGCAGCTCCGTTCACCCGCGCTGAACTGAAAGGAGCTCCTCCATGAAGTAAAAATCTCCGAGGAAGAACCTCAACTCGTCTCCTGGTTACCTCACAAGGTCCTTAGGTGCAGATGAGCTGATGTGGCTTGCTCGAATAGCAGCAAACAGACCACTTACTCCGCACAGAGTGCCCAGGCTGCGCCACACACTGCACCTGAAAGCCAAAGCTCACAGGCTTTCTGTCCTGGGGCACAGGGCTGCTGTCCCAATGTTTCTTGCAAATCCCACCTTCCTGCCTTTACCAAGTTAGGCAATATCAGCCTTTCCTTGGCTATGAGAAGTTTCCTTTATTTTTAACAAAGCAGAATAATTCCAAGTACCGTCTGCTAAGCATAAGCAGGTGGGTGACAGAAGGCAGTGGGGTGTAAGCCCTGCTGGTACCCCAGCTTTTCCCTTTGCCTCTTCCTGACCTGGTTGCTGTTTGTCCTGCCAGGCCGGGGATCCTGAATCCCTCCAAGGGTCCTGGAATTGATGAACTAGAGGTGTAACCGAGGCTGGGTTTTACCCCAATTAAAGAGGAGTTGCTGAACCAGCCCAGCATACGGAACCTCTGCCCTCATAGAGCAACTGGGAACAACTAAGGGGTTTTACAGAAATGCGGGCAGGATAAAGGGTTTGGATGAGCTTTCCCAGCAGCCAGTGCCCTGCTATGTCTGCCTACAGATCTGTTTTCTGTCTGTATTTCCTGCAGCCGACTCCAAGCAGAATGGGATGGTGTCTTAAAAGCTGGTGGGGTGGGAAAGGGGAAGATCTGTGTTAATTTACAATTCCACAAGATTATCCTTTCAGTCCTCTCCGAACCTCTCCTCTCCGAACCTCTCCTCTCCCCCTTGGTGTTAACCTGCTGATGGTGGGATTTATTTTTTTCCTCTGAGTCTGGTGTTCTGGATTTGCAGCGCTGTCCTGTCACTGTTTGTTTCCATAGGTGCCAAGCAGTTGCAAAAAAAATCAGCACTTAACAGAGTAATTAATTATTTGTGTCATTAAGCTGCCCAGGCAGGGATCAGTTGGTCATTAACTTATTTCCCTTCTTCGATGATTTGCTTTTGTGCTCTTCTCTCGGTTTTAATTTCTCATGTTAACATCCATAAATGCTGATTGTAATCTTTATTTTCAGTCATTCCCACTTTACATTTTCCTCTTTTAAGTGAGGAATCACAGCTGACCTTGGCTTTTTTGCCTTTGGGCTGACTTTTTAATATACTAAGGGTGTCCTATACTGTTTTGTTGTGAGTTGGGAGGGGAGAAATACAAATCAGAGTAATAAATTAGAGCTGCTGCCAGACTGGTAATTCCTGGGAGTAGGACCTAAAGCCCTAGATGATAAATCCTTAAATTATCCTTAGGGTTTAAGAGCTGGGACCCAAGTCCCTTTCCTTTTGGTGGCATAGAGAGGCCTTGGGCAACCGGAGCATTGCTCTGTGGGTTTCAGATACAGAGGTATCTAAAAGTTCTACCTCTTATTTCTAGATGCCAGGCTTTCTGTAAAAAATGTATTGTACCATATATAATGTGATTTTTACAAAAAAACAAAGCCACCACACCACAGTCTCCAGGACGTGGCGCAGGGCTGGATCGGTTCCATTAACACCTTCTGCTCTGAAGCATCTGGCTGTTTTAGGGTTGTGTTGGTTTTATGGGTTTTATTTTTTATGAGTAATCTTTGCTGTGAAGGAGACGGGATGTGATCCGCATCCTCCTGCATCCCACACCATCATCTGTGGAATTTACCCGAAATCTTGGCTACTCAGCTTCTCAGCCCCAGATCCAGCAATGCAGCAGGACCAAGCAGGCCAGGCACGGGCATCCCAGGATTTTGGGGTGGCACCAAGTGAGCAATCACCCCAGGGGAGGATTTTCTCTCTGTAGCGTGTTTATACTGGTGTGTGCATCTAAACAAGCCTTTGGGAAACTGGGTTTCACCAGGACATGAGGGAACACACTAAAAGCTTCGTCCAAAAATTATAATAAGAAGAAAGAATCCCCAAACTGTCCAGGTGAATTCCCTGATGGAGACAACCCCACTGCAGAGGAAGGGCATGTGCTGCCGCTTGGTCCTTGTGAAACCAAAGTTCCTGTTGGTGAAGTCGAGAGGATTTTGTGATGGTGCTGAGACCTTAAATGCCAAATTTGAGCATCTGTTCCCACAAAGGAGCCGTCACCTCCGTACCTCCCCCGCTCACTCTCAAGGGGCCTTCGCTTCCGTTTCCATGAAAGCTGTGTTGTATGTCACAGGAACGCAGCTGAAACCTGCTCTGAAAAGGCTGCAGAGACGTGGGAAAAGGCCTGAAGAGGAGCAGCTCAATCCAAATTGGGTATTTCGTAGGAAAAGCCTGGGTGGGCGCTTCAGGGAATAGGTTTGGAGGCTGACCCAAAGCCCTCTGCGATCAGAGTCGGCCGTCAACAACGACCTTCCCCTCACAAATCCAAGGTCCCAGCTCCTGGTGGGACCCCTGACGGCCACCAGCCACAGCCAGCTTTGTCCCAGCTCCGGGAACACGGTGGCCACCAGCCTCTGGCCTGCTGATACACCTTTGTATTTGTATTTTGATTTTGAATCAACAGCACTTTCAGCTACTTTTATTATTGTTTTTAATTCTCCTAAGTCTGTATTTGCTTTGGAGGAGGGAATGAAAACTTGGGATGAAATGAAGTGGATCAGGATGGTGGAACAAAAAGGAAAAAAGCAGAAAACATTTCAAATCTTATTCAAGTGATTTTTTTTCCCAGTAATATAAACCATGAAATTCCTTATAACATTATAGTATTTTACAGTTTTATGAAGCTTTCTATTGTGACTTTTATGGAATCAAAAGATGATGAGATATTTTAGCATTTATATTTTTCAAAATTAAATGTCTACTGAAAATAAAGTAGCTTTATGCATTTATGGGAGAGTTCATGTCCATTTTCGCTCCTTCTGTGTCGAGTCTTGTCTGATTGAATTGAGATCTGAGGATCACTGTGGTGGTATGGGGGAGTGGCTGGAAATTTGGAAGCAGGCATCATTGGTTCGCCTGGATTGCCAAGGAGCAGCATGGAGATGAGCCCACTGGTGCCAGGGGTGTCACCTCCTTCAGGAAGCAGGCGGTGGGTGCAGGGGAGATGCAGCAGGTGGAGACCATGGAGAGGAAGGTCCTGGTGGAGCCCAGGAGCACAGGCAGGGGCGCCTGGCTGTAGCTGCTGGCGTACTCGTACAGATTTCATGGTTTAAACTCTCTGTCTCTCCCTCCAGAGTTCTCCTGGCAATGTAGGGATGGTGTTTAAGAGCAGCATAAGGAGAACTGACAGTCCCTGTCCCACACTTTCCAGGATAGCAACACTGCCAAACTGAGCTTGTAGCATAGACACTCTCAGGATAATTTGTATCTCTCATTAAACGCTAATTCTTCATGAGAAGAATCAGGACAGAGAGGCTGATTTAACACCTAGAGGGATTCGTGGGCTACAATGAGGACACTGAACACGAGCCTGGTGCTCCTGCAAAGGGCAGGTATTGACCTGACAAGTGCCTCAGATCGATCTGTGACAAGAAGTGGGAGGTGGAGTTGGTACCAGAGTCGCTGTCCCTTCACACACAGTTGGTCATTGGCCTGCAGAAAAGAAGGGGGTTCCTGCCTGCTGCTCTCCCCTGGCATTACCCCGTTCCCTGGGAAAGTGCAGCTCTTGTCACTGCAGGGTAAAGGTGGGGAAAAGGCAGCCCAGCTTGGGGGGTGACCCTCCCTTCCTTCAGCTGCTGGGAAACGTGGCCGGGGGTCCCTCAGAGGCACTCCAGCTGAGGAGCTGCACCACTGCCAGAGGGACGTGGCAGTGACAGGGCAAGGGCAGCTCCTAAAATGCCCAGCTGGAGGAACGAGCCGCCCCGGCCTCCGCACCAAGCCCTGGACAGGGCATTTGGGCTGCTGGGGAATGGCCCAGCAGGGAGGTTCTGCTCCTGCCAGCCCAGCTGTTGCTTCCAACCGCATAGGAGGGGAAGGTATTTTGTCAGGGCAGTCGCTCATGGAATGGGTTGCCTGGGGAGGTTGTTGGATCCCCATCCGTGGAATGTTTCAAAACATGACTGGATCCCTCCCTGAGCAGCCCGGTCCGATCCCATTGGTGACTGTGGCCTGAGCAGGAGGTCAGACTTAGAGACCTTGGACTGTCTCTTCTGACCCAGATTCCTCTACAGTCCTGCAGCAGTTCTGGCTTCTTACAGTCCATGAGACCTGTTGGTTCCACAGTCTGCAGAGAAGCTCCTTTGCCCAGCAGGCAGTCCTGGAATGGCCAGACATCCATGGCAGAGATTCCCAGAGCTGCCATGTGCCCCAGCTGTCCCTGAACCCCAGCTTTGGCCTCGGCACTGAAACGCTGCCAGGACCTGTCCCTGCTGTGCAGGTCCGTGGGGCTGCAGGACACGGTGTCACACGGCACACACGGCCACTGGGTCCTGCCAGCTCCTGCAGCCTGGGCTTCCTGATTGCCGGGGATTTTAGGGGCCACCTGTCTCCAGGGCTGGGCAGGGAAACAGAGATTTCCTGTGCCTGGGAGCAACGCAGGGCCTTGCCAAGGCAAGCGAATCGCCTGGGCTTCAGGTGCCCGTGTGCAATTCCATGTCCAGGGTGTCTCCCCCAGCAGCAGGTTCCTGTCCCCAGTTCCCGATCTCCCTCAGCGGAGCGGGCGGGGCGGGGCCGCGGGGACCGGCGGGCTGGGATTGGGCGGCGGCGCTCGAGCGCTGATTGGGCAGCGCTGCCGGCCCGCGGTATAAAGGGCCGGCGGGGGGGTGGGGCCGGTTGTGTGTGTGAGGGCTGAGGGCGCGGCCCCGCTGCTGCCCGGGCTGCGGAGGGGAGAGCGCCTTGGCCGCTGGGTTTGTGGGCCGGGGGAGCCGGGGGGCGTTTAGGGGCGCGTTGTGCTGGGCAGCGGGGGCCGGGTAAACCCCTTCCCTGCCGGGTGACCCTGGGGGAGCCGTGGCAGGACTGGGGGGCTGGTGCTCTCTGGGTGGATCGAGTTTTGCTTTGGAATTCCAAACCCTTTCCCTGTGCCGGGTTACGAGGCCAAGACTGCTTTAGCTTGGTTTTTTTTGGTGCTGCATTAATGCTTTTTGCTGGTTCTGTGTCAATTTACAGCCTGGCTCGTGGTTTCCCCCGGTGCTGGGGAGTGGAGGCGAGTTGTGCTTCCTGCCGGGAGAGAGAAGGGCCTTGGGAAGCTGCTCCATGAGCCACAGCTGTGCCGAGCCCGGGAGTCTGTCCAGGTAAGAGCAGGGCTTATACTGCCCGTGAGGAGCTGGGTTCTGCTGCTGAAACATGCCCATGCCTTGAAATGCAAGGACAGGCAGAAGCCGGGAGGGACCCTGAGCACATTTGAAAAGCCCTTGACTGTGGGCGAAGTGTCCAGGAGAAATGATTCCTTTTTTTGCAGGGAGGCAGTTTGTGAGGGCAGGGGGGTTGCTGTGCTCTCTAGCAAAACTACTGCCCTTGGGATGTGCAGGGTGAGGAAATGTTGGCCACGTGTGGGCTGGAGCAAAGGTGTGTGGGTGGCTGTGTGTGACAGCCGTGGGTGTGCAGGAAGGGGGTCCTGGTGCCATTGGAGCTGCCAGGGAGCCAAAAGGGGCACAGTTGTCTGAAAAAGGTGCAAGCTCTGTTGGCCTCTGTTGACACCTGTACCAAAGGAGATGCAAATTTCCCCCCTCTTGGTTGCAGGCTTCCCAAAGCTCCCAGGAAAGGAAGTTTTAGATTCCAACTCCCCTTTCTGCTAAAGGTTTCCTTGCTCTCTCCGCAGGATGTGGAGTGCCACCATGTCCCCGAGGTCACCCTGTCTGCTGTTGGGAGAGCATGAGGTGGATGGAGAGGATCCCCAGGCATCTGCAGGCAAAAGGGACTGGCACAACTGCGATTTTTCTCCAGCTCTCTTAAGGTGGACTTTCAGGGTACCATGGGTAATGTGCCAGCTCTCCTGCTGGAGTTTTTGTCTTCTGCTATATTTGAACATCAAGAGTAAAACTAAAGTCAGGTGTGTTCTGGAGTATGTTACACTCGTGCAAAGCTCCTTCCCTCTGTTTATTTTCTGTTCTGGAAAGCACAGTCTGGGGTTCCTGGGCACTTCCTCTTAAATGATTCCATGAAAATAATTTTGTACTGAAAGGAAAAAGGAGCTGTC